TAAATTAAACTCTCTGCATATCTGGACTTATGATTCGCCTGCCTCTAGCCTCCCCACAATTCACCACCTCATTCCATCATCTAAATGTTGGTGGTTACTCATTTTTACTTTTCTGATGTGAATTTAACCAATTGCTGCAAGATAACACCAAGAAATTCTAAGGTGTGTTAGCGAACGCAATTCGTCTTGCCCTCCATGTGCTTACAAAGCCCGTTTTTCTGCACACAAATGTACAGTTACATATTTGCCATACAAGATTATCATTTTTATCTAGAAACTGTGGTTTTTCCTTCAGTTCAATTCTTTTCATGCAATTCGATAAAATATACAAATTTTCTTAATTGATTTCAAAAGTGTAGATAAGCCTTAAGCATGTGCAAGAATTAGACTTAAGTATAGTAAATAACTAAATTAATACAATTCAGGCTTAATTGTTTCAGTGTGCGATAGAAGCAAGACAAAATTTAATGGAACATTTTGTCTTTTGTCGCCAGTCTCGTGCTACATAGCCAACAATGTATAGCGGATGTTGTTAAGCTGGGCTAAAATTATACTTAAATGATTCCAAAGAATTTCTGTTAACATGGCAGATTGCACTGTTCCTTAACTTTCTGATTTGATCTAGCTTATTATTTATGATTTATTATATCATACAAATAAAACAGCACGAATGACGCAAGCGTTAATTAATGATTGGTTCGAAAATCAATTCATACCCAAGGCTCAGCAATATTTGAATTCGGTTGGTTTACCAGATGATGCAAAACCTGTCTTGAGTGTAGAAACTGCTCTTAACTAAACTCTTAAACGAACAAATAGGATATAATCCGATCCCTAAAGATCCTTCACCTTCGGATTTGTCAACAATAAAAACTGCGATCAAATCTTCGCAAATCATTTCAGCCAACTTAAAACATTCACTTATCCCATCTGTTGCGAATTGTGCCAGATTATATGCTCCTCCCAAAATTCAAAAAAGTGGTATTCCTTTCCGCCCTATTGTATCAAATTTAGGTACTGCCTCGTATCCATTAGCTAAATATTTAGTTTCTAGATTTTCAACTCTATTAGACAATAACATTTACACACCATAAAAAATTCAATAGAGTTTGTAAAAAAAGTTAAAAACATTTCTCCTAGTAATTTACTCATGGTTTCTTTTGATGTAAAATCATTATTCACCAATGTCCCAGTGGAGGGTGCATTAAGATGTCTAGAAACCAGACTTCGCGAATTTCATTTCTCTTGCATCGAAATTGATGAGCTAATTTCTCTCACTCAACTCTGTTTGAAACAAACACATTTTGTTTTCCAAAATAAATATTACAAGCAAACTGAGGGATTAGCCATGGGAAGCCCCCTCAGTCCCATCCTGGCTGATATCTACATGCATTATTATGAATCAAAATTGTTTGAAACTTTAAACTTCCCGGCATGGTTCCGCTACGTAGACGATACTTTTACCTGTTTGAAGGTAATAAAGATGATTTAAATAAAGTTCTTTCAACAATGAATTCTATTGATCCTGCTATTCAGTTCACTTTTGAACTTGAGACTTGCAATTCTCTTCCGTTTCTCGACATTCTGGTCACACGTAACACATCCAACTTCAGTACTACGGTTTACCGTAAACCTTCATCGGTTTGCCTTCCACCACACTTTAAATCATGTCATCCGACTAAACAAAAGTTAGCTTCATTTTATTCCTATGTTTTCCGTGCTCTTCAAGTTTGCTCCTCCAAACTAGCCCTTGATGAAGAACTAAAATATTTAAAAGCAATAGCTATTGACAGGGGCTTTTCCACCCAACATTATTAATCAAGCAGTTAAAAAATTCTCATCTCAACACACTAAAAGGCACAATCTTGTTTTAGGAGATTATAAAAATTCTGTTGTCATTCCCTTCTTTCCATCAATTAGCTATAAAGTTGCACATATTTTGCAGAAATTTAACTTTCGGGTTGTTTATTCTCCCATCAATAAAATTCCGAGTTCCATACTCAAGGACCCCATTCCGGATATGAATTCCTGGGGTATTTATAGGATTCCTTGCCAGTGTGGTTTAATTTACATTGGCCAAACTAAGAGAGCCTTAAAATTTCGCGTCAAGGAACATGAGGCATATGTTAGAAAAAAGGAAACACAGAAGTCTTCTGTTGCTCAACATTGTTGGTCCGAAAACCACACTTTCAGTTTTTCTGCTGCCAAAATTATTCAAAAAAACATCTTCCATTGGAGAACTGGATTTTCTAGAGGCATTTCACATTCATAAAAATCTTTCTGTTCTAGTTAACGATCCTAATTCCAATCCAAATTTGCCTTCGGCCTTTAAAGAAATTATGTTTTAGTTCTGGTTTCACCAACAGATGGCGCCACTTGCTTATTCTTGTCCAGGCTTTCTTATCTTATCTAATCATTATTTCCTATCTTGTTCATTTGCGGTTTTGCAGCTGAAGATGGTGGTTCGGTAAAACCATCGAAACTAGTCCTGTGAAAATTTTGTAAATATAACGCTGATTTTTGTTGTTTGACTTCTGAATTAGTATTTATTCGGCGTGTTATTGTGTCTTAGTTATAACTGTTTACTGCTTGCCCTTAAAGTTTATCTTTGCATATTAAAGCGAGTTATTGCCTTTCATAACCCTTACCGTAGTCACAAGAAACACAAAAATGTAAACGATTCTCGCATCTAGTGAGACTTAAAATAATGTAAAACACTTATCACCTCTGTGCTTTAGTGGCTTATTAGAATCTTAAAGTATATAACTGAGTCACAACCCCTACAGGTAAGCAGTAGCAGTGACAACAGCCAGTCTTTTGTTTGTTCATCATGCTGATTATGATTTTACCTCTCATTTTAACCTATGCGCTGACATAAAATTGCTTACTATTTACTAAGCTTTAGACTGAGCCAACGTATATGACAAAATAAGGTATGAAATAAAATCAACATAAAAGCTAACTGTTAGTAAAAAGGTAAATAAAATGTCACTTATCTCCTTTCAATATGTTCAGTTCTTATAGTGTAAATATATAATGCTCCTTGATAATTTCATATATTTATTCTCAGACTTAATAATAATTATGTAATTAAGTCATGTTTAATAAAATGCATCCTAATTACGGATCTATTTATTTTTAGGATGGTATTACAAAGTGATGTTCAGGCATAGATAATATTTTGAATTGAATTTATTCAGTTCCCATTCGCTCATAGGTCCTTAATTTTTTTCATTAATGGTCCTTAAAAGTACTTAATTTCCGTGTCCAGAAATGTGTACGAACCCTGGTACAGGTTACAAAATTGTAGCAAAGTTAATTCATTCACAATCGACGAAATGAAGGTATTTTGAGGGATCTGTATGTACATGTCAGTTGTAGATTTACCATTTAGAAGATGGGAATGATCATGCAAACAAGGCAGGAAATGATTTCAAATGCAATGACCGTAAATCGTTGGGAAGAGATTTGTATGCATGTATGTATATGCATGCTGTCCACTGTAGTGACAAACTGTAGCAATTATTTAAAACAAAATTTGAATAAAATTTTTTTAATTATTACTAAGTTTATTTTAAGTAGAAAAAATACAAACATTTTCGTTTTCTAGAATATTTGTATGCAACAAAGGGTTAAGCTTTTTTTGTAAATTTTGGTACCCTTTAGTTCATAAATGCTTCATTATTTCATAAATCATGATTTCATATTTTTAATTTCATAATTTCTGCATGCCATCTTATTAAATTTACACTGATAATCGGATACACGGAATCCGACATCACCAATGTCCCGACGAGTCCGTATCTGGAATTTTGTGTTGTATTAAACTAAAATAAACAAGATTCTTACATGAAGACCATGTTGTTCAAGGTTTTCTAATTTTAATTCGCAACACATCTCATGAAATCTCAAGAAATAAATTAATGAAATCTTATGTTGTGAGCATATGCAACACACAATCAAAGGTTTAGTGATTTTCTGCACAGGTTCGTATTTTTGTTTAACTGTTATTTTCAGTTAGATTTGTAAGTGCATATTAAAGCATTCAATAGTGGTTGAAAGAAAAAATATGCCATGAACAGTGTCAAATATTTGGAAAGACCGGTTTAAATTTAGTAAACATGTTAGTAGAGATTTTATGTTACTTGAGTAATTTAGGCGTATTTAAAATATATGATTAAAACGATTTTGAATAAAAAGATCATTCTAGATTTTGGGCATCTGCCTCTCGAACTTTGTAGCGCATTGCTTCTACATTCATGAAGAAAGAGTTTTTGTTTGAAACGTTAATGAGGTATTTCATGTTAATGCCATTAATTTAAATACAAGACATATATTTAATGCTACTTCTGTTGAACCAAAAATACTATATTACACTAAAGAAATAAATGCGATTCTCACATGAAATCCATGTTCTTCAAATTTTTGTAATTTTAATTCATACCATATGGCAAACATAAACATATTACACTCAATTATAAATCAAGTATTATTAATCAATCAGTTAATCTGAGAAAAGGAATAAGTTATACCTAGCAAGCAAAAAATAGATATATATTACATTCAGAATTCTAAAGATTTTAACATAAACTTTTCCAAGGTCTGCTGGGAAAAATGTATCAGACAATTGCAAATGCACGATAAACTTTTCTCTCAAGGTCTGCTGGAAAAAATGTATCAGACAATTGCAAATGCACGATTGCCAAAGATCACATGATCATTTTATTTTCAAGATCTGTTATTAGAAAATGCATTGTGAATGCATATATGTTAAGATTTAATTCATATTGAAGATGAGAAATCATTAAATTCTACTTTAAACCATGTAGAGGGGAATATAATAAAGGCCCTGAGGGCGAGATTTCATTTCATGAAATGTAAGTGCAATGTTTAATATTAATGCCATTAATTTAAAATTTACATAAGTGTATTTTATATTATTTGCATGTGCGAGAGAAAACGGTGGCATGAATATGGTTATATTAAGATTTAATTTGTAGTGAAAAAAAGTACAAACCAGGAAGATGTGCATCTCTAAGTGAAGATGAATATAATGCAGATGAAGAGAGAGAAATTGGCTTTAAAGAAAGGTAATTTAATTTTAGTGATAATGATTTAAACTTGTATAAGTGTTTTTAAAAGTTTTGTTTTTGTAATTAGATGCTGAAAGCCACTTGACCATGTATAATTTAATGTCTATTTCATGTATCTGTTAAACCCAATTACCTGACAGGATTTACGAACACTACAGTGCAAAACTTAGTTTAACTGTTATTTTCGTTTAGATTTGTAAGTGCATATTAAAGCATTCAATAGTGGTTGGAAAAAAATATTTCGTGAACCGTATCAAATATTTCGAATGGCCGGTTTAAATTTAGTAAACATGTTACTACAGACTTTATTTATATGTATCAATATCTGGGTGTAGTCAGTAAACCTTTTAGTTCAACAGCTAGTAGAATAGATTACTGGATTATAAGCATAAAGATGGAACCATGTGATCTGCAGGTTCAGGAGTAATTTTCAGATCTAGCAGTGGTCAGAGTCTAGGAAATGATGCTTCAGGGAGAATATCAAGGCAACAGCATTTATGTGATATTTGCTAGTGTGCGACAGAAATCATAATCTGATAAAAAAATATAAATCTTCTCAACCATCTTTTTAGTGAAGATTTTGTGCTGACAGTAATAATTACTTTAAATGAGTTTTCGTCCCATTCAACACATTTTTCAACTTCCAGTCTGCTATCTTCATTTACTTAAGGCTGTATGACTACCCACTTGTGACTTCTGTAAGTTCAGATCAGGTTAAGTCAATTTTTACTTGAAATTATTACTTTCCAAAGTTAGTCTTATCTGACTTTTCTGTGTGGCTTGCTTTATTGACAAAATGCAAGATTGCTCTCTAGCAATTTGTGGATTTTCATGGACATTGAGCCCTTTCAATTGAAAGTTTCTGTGCACATTAGGCAGATGTGCATGGCTGCTGTTATGGCTGTTTCGTCGAATGCTCTAGATCTACACATATTCTTGTACAGTTGTGTCTATTGAAACTGTTAGACTGATTACTAAGAAGAGAGAAGATTTTTAGACTTTAAATGTACAGTTTCATCCCCTTATAATATTGTTTTTATTTTGAATTTAGTGATACATATGGATTCATTGTACTCATGTGGACTTTCGCTTTGAATATTGTGCTATCATAAATCATGTCTTCAACTTCTAAGTTTAAAGTTAGAAGCTCATACTGTTTTTCTTCTAAAGTTAACAAAAATTTTGACAAATTTTCTTGAATGCCTTCGTTTTTATTAATATCACGACTTTCAAAATAAGAAACAATTCTATGAAGTAATTTTGTGCAAGCACTTCTAATGACTTCCTCCTTGATTTCAATTTCTCAATAGCTTCCATTTTATACACTTAACAAGATTTAAAGTGATAATAATTCAAGTGATAAAACTATTAAATTACCGAATTGCAGTACTTGTAATCTGAGTATTTGAAAATTATCCTGGAACAAATAATCCTAAGCTTCTGGGTTTTGGGCACCATGAAGAAATAATAATATATTACACTAAAGAAATAAACGAGATTCTCGCTTGAAGACATTGTTCAAATTTTTTTAATTTTAATTCATGACACATTTCATACATAAACGTATTAGACTGAATTATAAACCAAGTATAGTTAATTAACCAGGTAATCCGAGAAAGTGAATAAACTAAACCTAGTAAGAAAAAATATATATGTTGCATTAAAAATTTTAAAGATTTTAACATAAAGTTTTCTCGCGAGGCCTACTGAAAAAAAGATATCAGACGATTGCAAACCCATGGTCATTTTATTTTCAAAATCTGTTATTAGAACATGCATGAATTGAATGTATGTTAACATTTACTTCATAGTGAAGATGACAAATCATTAAATTCTACTTTACCATGTGGAAGGAAATATAATAAAGGTCCTGTTGTTCATAGTGATGAAGAGGAGGAGGGCGAGATTTCATTAGATGAAATGTAAGTGCAATGTTTAATATTAATGCCATTAATTTAAAATTTACATAAGTGTATTTTATATTACTTGCATATGTGAAAGAAAAAGGTGGCATGAATATGGTTATATTAAGATTTGTTTTGTAGTGAAAAAAAGTACAAACCAGGAAGTTGTGCATCTCTAAGTGAAGATGAATGTAATGCAGATGAAGAGAGAGAAATTGGGTTTAAAAAAAGGTAATTTGATTTTAATGATTATGATTTAAACTTGTATAAGTGTATTTAAAAATTGTGTTTTTGTAATTAGATGCTGAAAGCCACTTGAGCATGTATAATTTAATGTCTATTTTGTGTATCTGTTAAATCTAATTACCTGACAGGATTTACAAACACTACAGTGCAAGACTTTGTTTAACTGTTATTTTTGTTTAGATTTGTAAGTGCATATTAAAGCATTCAATAGTGGTTGAAAGAAAAAATATTTCGTGAACAGTATCAAATATTTGGAAGGGCCAGTTTAAATTTAGTAAACTTAGTTAGTACAGAATTTATATATATCTATATCTGGGTGTAGTCAGTAAACATTTTAGTTCAACAGCTAGTAGAATAGATTACTGGATTATAGGCATAAAGATGGAACCACGTGATCTGTAGATGCAGGAGTTAATTTTCAGATTTAGCGGTGGTCAGAGTCTAGGAAATGATGCTTCAGGGAGAATATCAAGGCAACAGCATTTATGTGATATTTGCTTATGTGTCACAGAAATCAGAATCTGATAAATATAAATCTTCTCAACCTTTTTTTTATTGAATATTTCGTGCTGACAGTAATAATTACTTTTAATGAGTTTTCGTCCCATTGAACACATTTTTCAATTTCCGGTTTGCTCTCTTCATTTACTTCAGGCTGTATGACTACCCACTTGTGACTTCCGTAAGTTTAGATCAGGTTAAGTCAATTTTTACTTGAAATTATTACTTTCCAAAGTTAGTCTTATCTGTCCTCTGTGTGGCTTGCTTTATTGACAAAACACATGATTGCTCGAGCAGTTTGTGGATTTTCATGGACATTGAGCCCTTTCAATTGAAAGTTTCTTTGCACATTAGGCAGATGTATGGCTGTTTAGTCAAATGCTGTAAATCTACACTTATCCTTGTACAGTTGTGTTTATTGAAAATGTTAGACTGAATACTAAGAAGAGAGAAGATTTTTTGACTTTAAATGTACAGTTTCATTCCCCCTTTTAATTTTGTTTTTATTTTGAAATTAGTGTTACTTATAGATTCATTGTACTCATGTGGGCTTTGAATTTCCGCTTTGAATATTGTACTATCATAAATCATGTCTTCAATTTCCAAGTTAGAAGCTCATTCTATTTTTCTTCTAAAGTTAACGAAAATTCTGACCAATTTTCTTGAATGCCTTCATTTTTATTAATATCAAGACATTCAAAATAAACAATTCTATGAAGTAATTTTGTTCAAGCACTTCTAATGACTTCCTCCTTGATTTCAACTTCTCAAGAGCTTCCATTTTATACACTTAACAAGATTTAAAGTGATAATAATTCAAGTGATAAAATTATTAAATTACAGAATTCTAGTACTAGTAATCTGGGTATTCGAAAATTATACCGGAACAATTAAAAATAAATAATCCTAGGCTTCTGGGTCTTGGGCACCATGAAGAAATAGTACTATATTACACTAAAGAAAGAAATGAGATTCTCGGTTGAAGACATTGTTCAATATTTTCTAATTTTAATTTATGACACATTTCATACATAAACACATTAGACTGAATTATAAACCAAGTATAGTTAATTAATCAGGTAATCCGAGAAAGTGAATAAACTAAACCTAGTAAGCAAAAGATATATATGCATACCTGCCAACTTTTACGAATTTTTCGTAATTTTTACGAAAATGCGTTTGTCTTTACGATTTTACGATCGTAATCCATTTTTTACGATTTTTTTTCCTTTTTCAAGTGTTTTTAGTGATTTTTGGTCGGAATTTTAGAATTTTAGAATTTTTCACCAATTCAGCGATTTTCGCCAATTACATCGTGTTTTACCGCCAACTACCGACTACTTCGAATCCAGTAACCTGCGGTTTCTCCCAACTCGCCGCTTAACCAGCCAATCCAATGCACTGAACATGTTTCTCCCACTCTTTTCTTCGTGGGCGCCAGATTATTTTTTTTCGCGTTTCGCTTCAGCAGCAAGGGAATTACTCAGCTCAGCACTCAGCGCAAGCGTTTGGATTGTCGGATTCTGGTTTTTTTTTTTTTTTTGTTTGTTTGTCTTGCACGTGCTACGAATTTTCTTTAATACGTCGTTGTTACGAAATGAGTTCAAAAAAACCGTATTCTGAAGAAAAACAAAAGTATGCTTTCGGCCTGCCTACAAAGCCGAATTTCCAACAATTAAAGAATCCTTCAAAGGAAATAACTATGCATTTTGCAACGTGTGCGTTTGTGCCTTCATAATAAGTCACGGTGGAAGAAGCGACATTGTGAAGCATGTTAAGTCTAAAAATCATGAAGTTAATGCTTCGGCTTCGACAACGTCAAAGAAAGTGGATGATTTTTTTTCAAATTTGGCTACGAATTCGGATGCCAATGTCATTTTGGCAGAGTGTTTGTTTGCTGCATTCCTCATCGAACACAACATGCCGCTAAGCGCTGCCGATCACGCCGGTCAACTTTTCAAATGGATGTTTCATCTTTTGACAAATTGAAAATTCATCTTTTGAAAAGATTCGTTTTTTTATTCATTTTTTCATAAATTTCCATTTTTGTTAACAATTAAAGAAAATGAATGCCATAATGATGCTTTAGATGAACTACAGAACCAATTTTCTGCTGCACAGTTTGAAGACTTTGCCAGTTCTGGAGAAGATAGACTCGATGTCCTCATTGGTACCTTAAAAAGAATAAAAAGAGCTCATGGAACACCAAAATATGATAGACTAGCAAGAGTTTTATGTGCTATTCTCGTAATTCCACACAGTAATGCTGAGTGCGAGAGAGTCTTCAGTGTTGTAAAGAAAAACAAAACTATGTTTCGTTCTTCAATTTCACCAAAAACTCTACAAAACATTTTAATTGCTAAATGTTATGAGGAAACTAATTGTTATAACAGGAAATTTTCCAAAGAATTTTTTGCTAAACCCAAAAAATGCACTCTAAATTCATTGCAATAATTTTTTTGTGTAACATTAAGTTCTTGTTTTATGTTTCCTAATAAATTTTTTAGTTACTACTTAACTGAGATTTACTAATGTAAGTACAATTTTCTTTTTTCTGTTTGTATAAATTGTTATTTTATCAATATCAAAGCATGATATTAATTCTTCGTGTTCTTCTGAATTTTGGAGAAATCTTCTGAATTTGGGGGAGAAATCTTCTGAATTTTTATTTTTAGAGGTTGGCAGGTATGTATATGTTACATTAAAAATTTTAAAGATTTTAACATAAAGTTTTCTCGCGAGGCCTACTGAGAAAAAGATATCAGACGATTGCAAACCCATAATCACCAAAGATCACATGGCCATTTTATTTTCAACACCTGTTATTATAAAATGCAGTGTGAATGAATGTATGTTAACATTTACTTCATAGTGAAGATGCCAAACCATTAAATTCTACTTTACCATGTAGAGGGAAATATAATAAAGGTCCTGTTGTTCACAGTGATGAAGAGGAGGAGGGCGAGATTTCATTTGATGAAATGTAAGTGCAATGTTTAATATTAATGCCATTAATTTAAAATTTACATAAGTGTATTTTATATTACTTGCATATGTGAAAGAAAAAGGTGGCATGAGTATGCATATTTTTATATTTGTTTTGTAGTGGAAAAGAAAAGTGCAAACCAGCAGGTTGTGTATCACTAAATGAAGATGAATATAATGCAGATGAAGAGAGAGCAAATGTGTTTGAAAAAAGGTAATTATTTGATTTTAGTTACAGTAATTTATACATGCATAAGTGTGTGCATGGAAAATATCAAAAATGCTTCTAATCTTATCATGTGGGCAAGCATTGTTATAGAAAGGAATTTTTTATTAATAAAGAAATTGAAAACTTACAATTTAAAAGATTCATCTAAATATGTCTTGATGCATCATACTCAGAGCTGGCACTGGGCATTTTTCCACCTGATGCAATCTCTGTGGATCCTAAATTCTGCTGCATAGTGATTTTCTAAACTCTGCTTCCAATGCCTGCTCTAAATTCTAAAAGTTTTGTCGTTTCTAGATTTTGTTATTCTGTGTGTCACTAAATTCTTAAAATTCTGCCACACCAGCTCTATAACCAGCCCTTACCATATGTATTTCATATTTCTTCTGAGTGTTCATGTTACTAAAGAAATAAAATTAGCATCATTTTCTATACATTCTAAATGCATTTAGTTTTTTTAGATTAACAGAAATCCTTAATTAAATCCAAAAATTCTAAAATGAAAAGGAAACGTGTTGAAAAAAGAAACTGAACACATAAAGAAAATTATTCTTCAAAAATATGTGTTATTATTATGTAAATTACTCAGTTTATGATTTCAGCCTTTACTATAATTCCCCAGTTCTATTTCCTCATATGATAGATATACTGAGCCAGATTAAATTAAAATTAAATTTTAAAATCTTCGACCACTAGTCCACCTTTTTAGTTTGAATTTGACTGTTCTTGTTTAATTGTGTCACCATGAGCTGTAATTGATTTTGTTAGCATGAGAACATGCCTTTATATTTTAAGTTCTTTTTAAATAAGAGGCTTATTTAAACCTGCGTATGATTTTCTAGTTACTTTCATATGTAGCGATTCAGATTTCCTTCACGTTTGTTGGGGGTTTTGGATTATTTAACTTTTGCCAAATGAAGTAAATCTTCATAGGTACATTGTGGAGAGATTGACAAGTTAGCAGATAAAGCATGTAGAAACTAGTGAGAACGTTGGTTTGTTTATTGAGACAAATTTCTGAAATTGTTTGAAAAGATGCTTAAAGAGAAGGAAATCGATAAAATATTAGCCAGAATGTCTGGAAAGACTTCAAATTAAAATGATGCATAAATATTTTGTTGAGTGTTATTGTTACAAAACATAAATGTTTTATAGCTTTTAATGTGTAATTATCCTAATATCGATTAAGAATCAATGTCATAAATTACATGTATTTTAAACTGTGAAATTTTATTAAATTGGGATTTTAATACCGCATACTGCTTACCCTTAAAAATTATCTCTGCATATTAAAGCAAGTTATTGCCTTTCATTAATCTTTACCGTGGTCACAAAATTGTAAAACTTATTCTTTGCATCTAGTGAGACTTAAAGTAATACAAAGGAACTTGTCACCTCTGGTGCTTCAGTGGCTAATTGGAACCTTAAAGTACATTAGCTGGGTTACAACCCCTGGAACTCTACACTAAGCTGCGTTCGCACTGGGCCATTGGGCGAAAAGCGTCAACGCATAAAAAAATGCTTTCCGCATACGCCGGTTCACACCAGCGAGGCAACTTTCGCTTTAAAAGTTGTCATATGCTCGCACTAGGTGGTGCTTCATATCAGAAACTTGGGGGAACAGAGGAAATTTTTTTGTACAATTACTTTTTACTGCTATATTTTTAATTAAAATGTGTTTAATTTCTGCTCAATTAAAACTTATTTTGCTTCTTGTTTTGTGTAAGAGAAGCAGAATGCAGTGGTTTATATTAATATGTGAAAGATGACTGCAGCAAGGAGATGCAAATAATTAATTGAAGAAATGCCCTTGAACAAAACGAAATTTCTTTTAATTACTTTCGCATGACACCTCATAAATTCGATGAATTTCTAGCGCTCATTGAACTATTTAGTCAAAAGCAGACCACTAATTTTTGTCAGAATATCGCAGAAAAGGAATTGTTTGGGCAATAGGAATAGGATATCCCAGAAAAGGATTGTTGTATATATCTAATTTAATTTATTTATGAATTTTGTTGAATGATAATTAAAAAATTCTAATTGCATGATTGTATTTCGGAGAGTAAATTTTTTCATGGGGTTAGAATACCATAAACGTTTTTTGCATGATGTATGAACTTCCCTTAAATGCTTTCTTAAATAAACTTCCCTTAATTGCTTTAAATAATGCAATAAAAAGTATAATTTGTTTAAATATATGTAGGATTTACAGCATCACTAAATTAAATATCACTCTTAAAAAAGCGGTTATTTTTAAGGTGGTAAACAACAGCAATTTTTTAAAAAATATTTTTTGGTTTCTGCCTTATGTACATATTTTTATCTTAAATGTGACAGTAATTACTTCAATTGGTCATTCATATATTAATAACCAGCTACTATCTAAAGGTTTATTTTATAAGGTCACTTTTATCTAGAACTCATTGAAGTAACTGCATTTTATATAATTATTTCTTTTCCTGCGTAGTTGAATTCCATAATTAGCAAATTTGCTAATACTCATGCAAAAATTCTTTAAATTAATGAAAAATTATCACCAAGATTAAACTTGTTGAATAGTGGTCATGCATGTTAAGAAAAACAAATATGAAACCGTTAAAATGCATAGTATTATTCCATAAAATCAGCTACATACTAGCGAGCTTCTTTTCTGTATAAATAAGTTTTTTAAATTTTTTTTAAACAAAGGGTTTACTTGTCACCACTTGTTCTAAGTTCAGAACTAACTACATTTTTTAATTACATGAGAACAGCAACTTTCTACTAATACCAGTATCGCTTTTGCGAGTCTCGTGTCAGCCGAATGTGAAAAGAAGCATAATGCACATGATGTCGAGCGAAAATTAGGTTTATATGAATGATGAATGAAATAAAAAATAAATGTAAGCTTCTTGTGTCCCCACCCCAAAAAAAGTCGCTGTATATTACAAAAAAAGTGTATTCATACTATCATCAAAGATAGGGAAAAGCAAGGCCTGAACCCGCAATACAAGTGCTTAGTAAAAGCTGAACTTTCTACCGAGTGTGTTACCTCTGCGCTAAGGTATCTTGTGGGTAAGCTTGTTCTCGCACTTCATGCTCAGGAAACTGAAGAAGCATTTGGGCTACTCTGAAACTAGCAATATTTTCTGTAAATATTTTTTTAAAATAACAACTCCATTACAACACCACTCCGGGTGACGCTTGAATCTAAAATCTTCTAACTCAAGAAGCCAACGTTTTATCCACTAGGCAACAAGAGCAACCTTAAATTGATGTAAATATATTTTAAGAAGAATTCAAAATCTGGAATTTCGAAATCGATCATTATTTTCTCGCAACAATCTACTGCTTTATATTATTCTATAAAGATTATTAACTGTATATCATTTATGTATGATTATTAAGGTTTGTTACTGCTAATAAACTTAAGAATTTTCCTTTAAATGATTTATAAATCTATTTTTTCTATTATGATATGCATTTTATTATTATTATTTTTTATTTATTATTATCTGAATTTTTTATTAAGATTAGTCCATTTGACTTTTTTTTCATCAAGAATTTTTAAAGTGCAATCATTTAAAAACCATGGTATAAACTAGACGTTTGAAACAAGATGCCTGAAACTTACACGTCAAGTGGAAAAAAGTTGAAGTTAAAGTCAACTCACGTGGTCTCCGGTCATCCGGCAAATGCCGCCTCTGATCTTGCTCCTGATTGATTAACGCTTTATGTGCGGATGCATGACCACGTTGGTGTGAATGCAGCTTAACTGCATCAAACAGAGCCTAACTTTCAAAACTTGCCAACCATGCCTACATCAGGCCTTTCAGGTTTGTTTTAATCGGCAGGTCTCTAAACAAGCAGCAGTGGTGACAACATTCAGTCTTGTTATGAAGCATGCTGATTATGATCTTACTTCTCATTTTAACTTATTCCGTTTGACATAAAATCTACCTGCTATTTGCTAAACCTCTAGACTGAACAAATATGTGACAAAACGAGACCTAAAAAAATCAGCATAAAGTTAACTGATAGTAAATTGTAAATGTCACTTATCTTCTTTCAAGTATGTCCGACTATTATAAATGTAAAATATTTAATGCTACTTGATAAATTGCATAAAATTTATTTTATTCTCAAATTTATTAATAGTTATGTTAATTAATTCATGTTTAATAATAATGCATCTTACTTAGGGATCTATTTTATTTTTAGGATGATATTACAAAAGTGAAATTCAGGCATAGATAATATTTTTAGTTGAATTTATTCAGTTCCCATTTGCTCATAGGTCTTTAATTATTTTCAGTAGTAGTCTTTAAAAGTGCTTAATTTCTGCGTGCAGAAATGTGTACGAATCCTGTAAATGCTGAAAGCTGCTTAAGCATGTATAATTTAATGCCTGATTCATATATCTGTTAAACCCGATTACCTGACAGGATTTTCAAACACTACAGTGCAAGACTTCCAATATCTAGGTGTAGTCACTAAACCTTATAATTTAACAGCTAGTGGAATATATAAGTGGATTATAGTCGTAAAGGTGGAACCAAGTTATATGTAGATGCAGGAATTACTTTTCAGATTTAACTGTAGTCGAAGTCTAGGAAACGGTGCTTCAGGGAGACTACCAAGGCAACAGAGTTTAAGTGATATTCCCTGGTGTGTGATTAGGAGACTAAAGCAGGATGTCAGAATATAAGTTTGCTCACTTTTAGAACAGTAGTCTTAAGTGTGTGATTGCACAGGCCTGTCTCAATCGCAAATTGTTGCTATGTTGACGTACCACTCAGCAGAATCAAACTATGATTTCGTGCTAGATAGCTTTATATCCCATAGGAAAGTGCCAAGCTGAGGAATGGCTAAAAATGAACGCAACCCATGGTGCACATCTTGTCAATGTCTATATCAGAGCAGAAGGCTCGTAGATGGTTGACGAATGTGTATGCTAAATGATTCGTTATTTTATTCAGTGGTAAATCTTACTTTTGCATCCA